GCCTCATCAGCTTACGAATTAAGCAGTTAATCAATTTTGGTGTGATATTCCCCCACGGGCTTTGCGTTGCTGACTCACATAGGCTCAATATCTTCCCCCTTCAACAACAAGCAGTCGTGCAAATGAAGCTCGCTCCCAGCTGAGCATTCCCTGGTCACAGCATCCCAAATCCGTCAGTCACTGCATCCTCCTGATGGAAATTACTGCCTTATTGCTTCTTGTTACCTCTTTCCTGAGCACTGGGTGAATACAAACTAGGCAATTACAGAGGCATGCTTAAAAACTCGTGGTGAAGATGGTGCCACAGGATTATTCTTTGTGTCATTGGTGGGGAAGCATAGAACTTGTTTCCATGTATTTCCTACAGTATTTGTATTAAGAGCAGGTATTTCTGTAAATATTGTTTGTCAAATTTTTATAATATCTCGTCAGTTCAAATGATACAGTTCAAAAAATACAGTTCAAATCAGAATGTAAGCAGGAGTAGTTTGGAATCCCAGTTATGATTTTTTCTATTTATGCAGCAATTAAATATGTAGAATCAAGATCCTATTCCTGACCTTCAGTCTAGTCTTTCAACAATTTAATTAAATTGTGGCTTGGTGCAACTGTTAATATTTTAGAGTTGAACCTTCCCCGCACTTCTTTTTAACAAAAAAGTGAATAACTGGTTTGGATGGTCTTTAACATACCTATATGGTTTTTTTTTTCCTTCAACTTACTCTTTTTTAATATAAAATACTAAATGCTATTCTGCTTTGAACCAAGTTTTATGAAACTAAACTTGAGTGAGCAAGAAAGAGGCCTCATTTCCATGATACCCTTAACCTTTATGATTTGTGTTTTGTACGTTTAATTGTTGTGTGTTTCTTATTTAATCTTGTGTTCTGTTAATAAAATCCCGAATTTATGTGCTGCAGCCTGGGAAGGAGAGCTAGACGTGCCAGTTTCCTCAGTGATAGAGTATTAGATCTCTTCAGCTGTGGCACTGCGACCTGACTGTAGCAATCTAATCTCCAAAAGGCTTTATACAGTCCAGCCAGCCCTTAAAGCATCCTTTGATCAATAATTAATTTTTTTAACATGTCCTCAGTTCCTCAGGACCCTGGGGGCATCCTGCCAGTTCCTTAATATGTGCACAATGGTACAGAAGCAATTTTTTCCATTGCATCTCGTTTGGAGCTGTTATTTACGTGGTAGCCACTGTGGGTAACTGTGCTTGTTTTGCAGTGCTCAGGGCGTTTAATCGTTTGGCATTTTGACCCTGGCCATTGTTGTTAAAGCCTCTCGGTGTCTTGTTCACTTGCCAAAAGTAAAATCACTTCAATTGTTGTGTCTGCTGCTGTCTAAATTAAAGCCTGGCTGTAAGCCATTTTACTTGTAGGAGCACAAGTAATCGAACTCCTCCTTGAAAATAATCTTAACAAGACAGTTCTGAATTCTGCAGTTGACAGTGATCCTGAGAAACTGTGTTCACCCTCCGTTTTAATTTCCCTCTCAGCCTTCTATATCTCCAGTGTGATCCAGAAAAGCCACTCTTAGTCTGTTCTGAAAGTGAACAAGAGATGAGTGCCTCCGTGTCGTCAAACGTCATTGTTTATTAATTTAGAAAAATGGTCCTAATTTGCTTAAGTTTGTGGCAAGGGACAATTGTGAGCTTGAATTCCTATAGAGATCAAAGTGGTGCAGAAGTAATATTGGCATGGGCAACAAGAAATACAGGAGGAGGATGAAGGAACTGCTGTTCATTTGAGGATGGGATATAAGGTAATCCTCATGCTTGCCATATGCATGCAGCTAGATGAGGAATCGCTCTTCCCTGTCCTCTGACAGTGAAGGAATTCCACAATATGGTGAAATTCCTTCTTTTTAATCTTTTAATTCCAATCTTTTTAAATACTTTGCAATAGGAATGCATGATTTTCTATTTGCTTAAGTAATCTTTTCTGTCTAACCCTTTCATTTAGGAATACAGTTTTTAGAAATATTTTGGTAGCCTGTACATAGCTAGCAACACCAGCCCAAAAATAAACCAAGTAGGAAAAACAAGGAGCCATTCTAGATGATCTGGTGAAACTTTGTTAGTTAACACTGCAGATCATTGTTTGTCACCATCCCTCCTGCCCCAAACCTGCAACCCAAATCTGGTTTCAAAATGGTTCACATATTCAGACTTGAAGATGCACTGAAGAAACAGCACGACTTTAGCCAATTTACAAGGCTCGGCTTTATATTGTCTTCAGCTTAATAGTAGACTGTTGTGTGCATATACGTGCACATGTGTGTACACATGCACACAGCACTTTTTGTAACTATAAGATCTTCTGGAATGATCCTGATTTTGAAGACTGGAGTTCAAAGTGAAGTGCATCTTTTTCCCCATTTCTTCTTTTTTTGGTCTAAGAACATCTGGTGTTTTGTCAATGGACTTAACTGAGGGCATTTGCTCCCAACATGCTTGAAAGATAAAACTTTTTTTTCTTCTTTTTAGGAGAAAGAAATGTATTGAAGGTATTTCTCCAAAATACAAGGTTGACCAAAGGAGGAAAAAAAGAACAGTGCATGCAGAGTGAAGTGGGAGGAGAGTGAGAGCCTCACAGAAGTGTACTGTATTCCTCTCTAATGTAGAACCTGGATCGTGTTTGGTTTTACTCCATAAAAAGTTTTCTATCTCCAGTAATCAGTGCAGACACATTTTACTTTCCTAAAGGCTCTATCACTTTGCTGAGTGTCAGGCATGCAATTATGCATTTTACTTCAGTTAAAATAAAGACTATCTGCCTCTCAGTTCTTCTTGCTTTTCTTCTTTTGGTGGCTGCCTTACCTGCCTCAAAAATCTTGCCAATTTTCCTCTTAAAACATGCCAGTTAGATTTTTTTCCCACTGACCTTGGAAATTGAAGTGTGGATGGAAATGTTTAACTCCAGCCTACCTGATGACTCTTCAACTATCCCCTTTGCCAATTGCCTTTTTGAGTTTGTTTGGCATCCTAGAATCACAGAATCCTTAAGGTTAGAAGGGACCTTTAGAGATCTAATTGAACCTCCCTGCACACGCAGGGTCACCTAGAGCACAGGGCATCTCTTGCTGTGATCCATGTACCCGGGTTCTAGCCTGGGGAAGCCAAGAAGAAATGTATGTTTAGACTCCTACAAATAAACTGGATATTTTAGCCCCATTATTGCCTGAGAGAGTTGCCCATATCTAAAGCTTTTTTTTTTTTTTTTTTTTTTTTCCTGAAAACCCTGAGGATTTCAATTTAGAACTTCATCTTTTCTTATCCCTCTGCATATGGTGACCTGGCCATCCTCGTCTTTCTAACGCCAAAGCAGAAGGAAGTAGGGGACATAATCAGCAACGATTCCAGTTGTTGTCTCACTGCAATCTACAGTCTGTTGCATTTTATACATTTCTTTCCTTCTGTTCCTGTTGAGATTGATAGTTGTGCACAACTTTGCAGTGGCTGTTAACATGCTCTGCAGTGTTAGACCTGCTGTATTTTCACCAAAGCAAAATGCTGTTGCAAGCTTTCACACGTGGAGCCAGTAGAAAGTCTCAGCTGTCAAAATAGGCCTTGTTTTTGGAGTCTCCCTTCTGCTTGAAGAGTAGATTGGATGGATGGACTTCAATTTTAGAAGTAGTTGTGTAATCTCCTGTTATAGTCAATGGAGTCTTAACAGAAACTCGAGGAGCTTGCCACTATATCCTTATTTAGGCTGATCTGAGTTGCTCTACAGGCTCTTTTCACTTACTTTCAAAATGTTCTTGGTTCTCACCTTCGTGGCCAGTGGTGAGATGGTGAGCATGTTTGTCTACAGTTAAGGGATGAAGGAGTTTTGAATGGAAGTTGCTTTCCCCCCCCCTTTTTTTTCTTGCACATTTATGAATTTAAGAACAATGAAATGCTACGGAAATACTGTGACCAGCTCTTCTGAGAGACTAGATGGAGGCTGGAGGGATCTAGCTGAGACTAGATGAATTTCTCATTTTACTGGGACAGTTTATTTCTGATAAACTCCAAAATAGTGAGTGCTGATATGTCCAGACTTATATCTTAACTTATATCTTTTTTTTTTTTTAATCTGTGTTAAGGCTTTTTTTAGCCAAACTGTAGGCAAAACAACTGTAACAAAATATAAAATAGTTTATGTGAATGTGATTATGTGCCTGAGACAGGAGATCATTAACTATCACATAGGATAAAAAGTTGGTATGTTTTTAGGGACCCAATATTTATAACATTGCAAAATGTTAATAAATACTTGATTCTGCTCAGTAGTTGGTTAATTGGAGCCAATCTAATAGATCTAAATGGAATCAACAGTTGTTGGTGCTAGAGAAGGACGATTAGAGTAATCCAAGTGGTGGAGCAACTGCCTTGAGGAGAGGCCTGGAAGGCTGCGGCTCTGCCTGAAGAGGTGGGAAAGGCTGGAGGCCTAAGGCTTTTTATAAAATCATATAGATAATAGATAATTCAAATGCAGTTCCACAAACTACATGAGACTTGAACTAGCAGCATTTTCTGTAATGAGTAGAAGGTCAATTTAAAATGGTTATTATTTCTATATGTATTAATAGCTCCAGCTACTGCTGCTGCTGGAGTTTTGCAGGCAGAGAGTATCAGCAGCTTCAAAAAGGAATTAGACAAATTTGTATGAAACAAGCTCATAAAGAAAGACTGGCAGGGCACCAGGGCGTATATCCAGCCCCTGCTACAATTAACGTGGATTCTATGGATGTACAAGGAGAGCGGATTGCAGAAAAGAACAGGCTGATGTTTACTTCTTAAGTAACATCATCTGTTGCCACTGTTGGACACAAAACAGTGACTTCACCCAGAAAACCTTTTTTTTTTTTTTATTTGTTGTTTTTTTTTTTTTAAATCAGCTATTCATTTCTGAAGAACGACTTTTTCTGTACAAATTACACCAATTTATTTTCAAATGACTTTTCTAAAACTCACCATAGATGTCTTGGCTTGTTTCTTTCTTGTTTTTCAGTGAATAATCCTATACCTTCCAACCTGAAGTCAGAAGCTAAAAAGGCAGCTAAAATATTAAGAGAATTTACAGAAATAACTTCCAGGAATGGACCTGATAAAATCATACCTCGTGAGTAAAGAAAATGATTCGGTTAAAACTTTCGCTTACCCAGGTCTCCACTGGGTTGAAATCCTGCTTTCCCTACCAATGCCTTCTGGTTTTGCTCATACGGACTTTAAGAGGGATGAAAACCTGGAGTTCACTAACAGAAAATATTTTGAAAGTAAAGGTGTTTAGTTTGCTGTGTTCTAGGAAGACAACAGCTCCTGGGTGTGATTGCTGGTGTGTTTTCAATCATGGGATATCAGTTTAGGAAGCTTTCGCTCTGTTACTAATGGGATCTCTTGAGTTCATGATCTCAGTATGACCATTCTTCAAGAAAAACCTCCAGTGGTAGTTACCGTTCTTGAATATCTGTTCATTAGAATTAGCAAAATGAAAAGTAGTGGAAGGAAACAGATCACTGTACTTTTCTCCTTTGAGAAAAGCAAGCACTCTTACTTCCTACTATCCTTTTTATTTCTGGAATTGTTATTCTGAGCTTCTCCTAGAGTCCTCCTCCATCCGGAGCTGCTGCTGCTGGTTTTGAATTTTTAACTATTATGTTCTAAAAGGTCTGCAATACGACTTGCTGGATGATCACATTTTATTTCACACAAACACTGTCTAATGGAATAAGCTGATTAGACTGCAATGTGTCACTGTGATTTAAATTCAGACTTCTCTCCTGCGAAAATCCATAGAGACATGGATGTCAACTCTTCGCGACCCTTTTATCTTGCTACGGGAGTATTTGTATGCAGTATTCATGGCCATAAACAAGCTAATTCCATGTGAGCTAACTGGGTAGCTGAAGTAGTGTCTTAGCTGTGACAATGTAGGGGTCAGCAGAGACTAATGCAACCTGTCTAGCTTTGTGGAGATACTAGTATTTTCACTTTTTTTCTTTCCTTTATGATTTTCTTTAAGCTTTTGCTTTGATTCTTTGACTCTCTTTTCAAAATTGTTGAATATACTTTTATTTTTCCTTCCTCTGATTTTTCTTAAAAGATTCTTATGAAATGATTCTATTGTTGCAGCCCACGTGATAGCTAAAGCCAAAGGCCTTGCAGTTTTGTCTGTTATCAAAGCTGGATTTTTGGTGACGGCTCGAGGAGGAAGTGGGATTGTACTAGCCCGTCTTCCAAATGGAAGTAAGTGAATATTTTCTTCTGTATTTCATGGGAGAATTAAAAAAAAAAAAAAAAGTTTGTTTATTTGTTTGGTTTCACAGCATACAACATAAGACACTTAAAGAGTCAGCCTCGTAGGCAACATTTGGTTGGAAAGTTCTTTTCAAAATTTTGTACTTGTTGTGGACCACATATAAGTACTTTCAATATCTTTATGGAACAATATGTCAACTCGTTATTGTGAGAGAAGCACAAATATATGTAGTTTAAAACTTACTAGAAAAATGAATAATGCCCAATAATGAACAAACTTATGATAAAGACTTTGTTTATGAAAGATTGTATATTTTACTTTCCTACTGTTTTTCCTAAGCAGTGTAGTTGCTTGGAGTCTGTATTCTAGTAGTTATCAATCTAGTTTTAAATAGAGAACTTTTAGCATTTTTGAGCTCTGACAATAAAATGTGTCTTTTAGCTTAAGTAAAACTCCTATTCATTTGTGTCTTGTTTTGTGTGTTAGCCTGGTCTGCTCCTTCTGCGATAGGAATTGCTGGCCTTGGTGGTGGATTTGAAATCGGAATTGAGGTATAACTTTACATATGAAATACTTCTTAACAACTCCTTTTTGTAAGAAATTAAAATGTATTGACAAAGATCTAAATGTCTGCAAGATATTGCAATCTATTTTCTGTGTAAATGAACTATTATAAAATTCACTTACATAAACCAAACAACGTGGGTTTTTGTTGTTGTTTGTTTCTTTGTTTTGTTTTGATCATATCAATCTAATTGCTTGGAGATATTTAAGTAAAAATAAGTGACATAACATGTATTTCCTTAATTTCTCACTTCTAGTAGACTGGTTTTTTTCCCTTGTAAAAAATTTCCAGTCAATGTTTGCCTTTAAGCCAATTGGAATTGCTTTTAAGTATGCTATATTTAATATTGCATCAAATGCTCTGTTAAAGAGCAGCCAAGAACTCCCCTGTTTCACAAGATAGTGAAAGGAATAGAAGGTAGAGTAAAATAGATTGTATCTAATACTTAAGTAGTTTATGTGTTTGTTCTTTACCCAAAATTAATTATTGATTTTACTCTGCACTTTGGGAGCATCAAAAGTGGCAGTACCTCCTCTGAAGGAATCTTGCAGAAAATGAGCCAATTTTCAGACAGTAAAAGCAATTGAACAAGGGACTAACACACTCTGAGGAATCCTGTTCATCTGAACCCTGACAGTTCTACTTCTGATCCCCATCTCTCCTAACAAGCAGTTTCTTCATCCTGTTTGTTTTCCTTCTATTCCCTTCTTCCTTGCCCCCATATTCTTTCCCATCCTTCCCTTTTTGTTTAGAATACGATCCAATTCCACTGATTGAAAGGAGTCGTTCTGCAAGAGAAAATTAGATGTAGCATCAGGCTGCCCACAAGATCTCCTGCTAAGGGAGAGTCTCTGCGTGGCCGGGCTGTGTGGTACCAGCCAGCTCCTGCTGCAGGTAATCAGCCCTCCGCAGCCCTCAGGCACTCACCAGCGCTCACACCACGAGCCGGTATTTGCTGTGTCCTCATTCATCATTGGCTGATCTCAGGCTTTACTATTAGGCGCTTCTTAAAAGCTGCTGTGAATACAAAATTATTAATTTTCATAAGGGCTTCTCTTTGACTTTCATGACTGCAGCCTTTGAATGCACTTCCAAACATTAATGAGTTTGAGCCCAAGCATTTTGTACCTTTTTTCCTTTGTGGCAAATGAAAAAAAAATCTACTGACGCTTTGAGTGATCAATGAAGCTTTTCCTCTCATCGTTTCCATCTAGTATTTTGGAAAATGTAACCATTTACTATTGATTTTTACTAAAATAATTTTAATACACAGAAGCTGTATCTGAGAGGACTTGCTTTCTGAACACAGTTCTGTCCTTAGTTTGATATTTTAGTAGTTCAGCTTTACCTAGTACTGTTTCTATACTAGCAGTATTGTAACACAATTTGATTTTCCTGTTCTACAGAATAACTATTATTCAGAAATACCTAAATGACTTAGGAGCCCATATTCCAGTTAAGCCTTATTCTAGCCATTTATGAGCTTAAACTTCATGGAAATTGGATGAATTTTCTTCCTGTAGGACAGATTTTTACTGAGTAGTGGTACCTGTGGGTTTTTTTAAACTGTAAGAAAGGAATCACAGATTTTACAAGTCATAGGACTTGCGTGTTCTTCACAATAAGATAATTTGGTTCTTCAAATTAAACACTAATTTTAAAAATTATCTAAATGCTTTCAGGGCAGCTTTTCTCTGCAATGAAATGTGGGTTCATTTAGTTTATTCTTTAAACAAAGGTTCAGAACATTGTTTTTTATCAGAGAAAAGACTATAAAATTTGATTTTCAGGATCGCCTTTATGGGTAAGAGAAGGTCCAAAATTCCAGATGGGGATCTCACCCCGTTCCTGGAAGATTCAGCAGCTGATAACATCAGCTATTTCTTGTTTGGGACAGGATGGGGGTTACTGTGGGGCTAATAACAAAAAGCTGTTTTACACTGTATGTTCTTGTGGGCCATGCCCCCCCCCCCCCTTTTTTTTTTTCCAAAATAATCTAGTATTTCTTTTCATGTTCCTTGCTGTCACTTTTTGGAATTTGCGGTAAGTTGAAAATTTTTATGAAGCCCAGTTTCAGTCAAGTTGCTCTGGTGGAAAATCAGTCATAATAGACTTTGTCTACCCAAGTTCTCTCTTCAACTAACATCAGAATGAGCCGCTAAGTCTGTAATCCTTGAACTCTGAAACAGATGGTACTGCACCAGTGCCTGATGTGCCAATTAATTCATTTGTCAGGTTTTTGAATTTTATTTTAATACGTGTAACACATCTACTGAGCTTTCAAATCAAGACAGTGATCCTTATAGAGGCATGCTTGTGCTTGAAGAACTTCTTTCTGTATTTCTTCCTTTCTTTAGAATGCTTCCTACTTTGGGAAGAACATTGTAGGACTCTTCTACTGAAACTTGTCAATTTAAAGGAAAGTGTAGTACTGGGAGCATTAGGTTAATATTAATAAAAATTCTTTTATACTTGCTATTTTTCTCACAATCTAAGTAAATAAAGTATTTGAAAAACACAATTTTTTTTTCCATCTTTGGAAGATTCAAATGAAACATATCTTATTAGCTCTGCAGAGATTTGCTTTAATAGTTTCTTGAAGAAAAGGGTTACGTGTCATAAAATTTATATATAATTTTCTTATGCCTTGAATTATATGTCAGAAAAATGAAATTTTCTTGATAATGAGAAAACACATATTTTCTTTTATTGTTGCTTATTCTTTGGACAGACGAATAAGTTGTTTTTGTTTAATATGTTATTTGCCATTTTTATTACTTCAATTTTGGAATGCTAAAAAAATGATATTCATCTGATCTCTCCACATCTGAGAATGCATTTACACTTGTTTCTACAAGATATACAGGATATACTGCACATATGCAGGATATACAGTTTAAAAAGTTGTCATTGTTAGCATTCTGATAATCAGGATATCCTGTTAAAGCTGCAGCACTTAAATAAAATTAATGAAAGTTTTTGGTTTCAAAATATCTTGCAGAAAAAGAATCAACTTTATGGAAGTTGAAAGAATTCTTTGCAAGAAGCGTGAAGGAATCAGAATAGAATGAGAGATTCTAACTTCCATTAAAAACTTGATAAATTTATAGTTACTTTTTATTTGGGAGAAGGAAATAAGTTGTGTGATTCCACCCATTTTCCCAGAAAACAAAAATTTCTCTCATATAATTCTAACTTTCTTCTTGAAAAGCACAATATTTTTATTTGATATTTTTATAGGTTTCAGACTTAGTAATAATATTGAATCATGAGAGAGCAGTAGAAGCTTTTGCCAAAGGAGGCAATCTTACCCTTGGAGGAAATCTTACTGTGGCAATTGGACCTCTGGGGAGGTGAGTAAAATCCTTTTCTAATGTTAAGTCAAATTAAATACAAGAAGACAGTTTCTAAAGCTGCTTAAGCATTCATAAGGTTTTCTTTGATATAAATGGATAAACTGTACGGCCTGTCTGTTGGCTTGAATATATTGTTTTGTCATGTCTCTTCAGTCTGTTATTGTCGCCTTTTTTTATATAAAGGCATCATTGGCAGAAGCAACCTGTTCTGAGGTTTGCTCTCCCTTTAATGTCTGCTCTTTCCTCTGAGCAAATTAGATGGAAATAAAATGAAACTTTTGCAAGAGACTATTGAAGGATGGTCTCAAAGAGTATAGGTGATACAGTGTCTGAATTATTATTTTCACTGAGCACACAATTTTCACTGGGTACTTGCTTCCTGTCACATCAATCTAACTGATAGTAATTAAAAAATACACCAAGAATTACTTCTAAAGCTTAAATGCATAAGGCTAGCTCAGTGTGAAGGATCATAGAAAATTTAATTAGCAAGGAATCCAAGAAGATCTGTAGTCTAGTCTCCTTCTCTAAATGAAGTCAGCTGTGAGATCAAACAAACTTGCCCAAGGTTTTATACCAGTTAGGTCTTACAAACCTCCAAAGATGGAGATTGCACAACTTCTCTGGGGAACCTACTCCACTCCTTGGTTGTTCTCAGGATAAAAAAAATTATGCCTTATGTCCTGTCAAAAAACGTCTTTTGTTTCAGTTTAAATCTATTATATCTTGTCATTCCAGTTTGCATTGCAGTAAAGAGCCTGGTTTCATCTTGTTGACAACTTCCTCATAGGTATTGGAAGACTGCTGTTAGGTGTCCTCAATCCTAAAGAAACCCAGTTTCCCTCATCCTCTTCTCATGTTACATTTGCGTCCTTATGTTTTTATTCTTATGATGAAGCTTTTGCTGACATTTGTCAGCTCTACAAAAAATAAATTAATAAAAATAGAGGATACAATGAATTCCTGTTCCATAGACAAAGATAGATTGTAGATGTGGGGAGAGTAGTGAATGTCATCTGTCTTCACGTTGAGAAGTTGAGACATTAGGGTTTAGATGGGAATCTAGCAAATGGGTGAGAAAACAGACCATTAGACTCAAAGAATAGTGATAAATGATTCATGCTTTACCTGGTCTACATGGTTATTTGCAGTTCCTCAGGAATCTACTCAGGGGTCTCATTCATTTCATTTCTTTTATTTTCTAAGTATAGGGGGGGAGGAGACTCTTCAGGTTTGTGGAAGACTCCAAACCAGGTGCAGTCAATACACTTCAGGACAGGGCTGTCACTCAGAGGGTTCCAGACAGTGGAAAGATCCAACAGGAAACTTTGTGAAATTAAACATGAACAAATGTGAAGTTCTGCCCTTGGATTGGATTAACCCTCTGCTATGATACAGGCTGGGGCCTCATGGGCTGAGTAGCTGCTCTGGTGAAGATGCCTGTGGAGCAGCACGGGTTCCCTGTGCGTCAGCGGAGCATCCTGACCACAAGGGCACTAACAGCAAAGCGGACTGTGTCAGCAGAAGGGGACAGAAAGGGTACTGTGAGTGTCCCCTTGACACCTTCAGGCTGAACCCAGAATGTTGACTCCAGCTTCAGTCCCGTCACACAAGATGTGACTGAACTTGTGTGTGTCCAGTGCAGTGCAACAAGGATGACCACGTATCGGGTGTATGTGAATCCTGAGGTCAGCATGAGAGTAGGACTTGTTTGGCATGGGATAGGGAAGGGTTCAGAGCACCTAACAGGCTGTGTTCCCAAGAGCAGGTGACTCAGATCCAGCTCTTTACTGAGGTGCCTGGCAGGAGAACAAAAGAGGGAAGTTATAATTGAAACATGCAAGGTCCTGGCTAGGTATTAGTGGGGGAAAAAGTCACTGTGAATATAATTAAGCATGAAAACAGGTTGCTCAGAGTATCGGTGGAATCTACATACTTGATGGTTTTCAAAAACTAGTTGGACAAAGTCCTGAGCAACTTGATTTTAATTTTATGTTATACTTGTTTTGAGCAGGAGGTTGGAATAACTGACCTGCAGTAGATCATTCAGACTTAAAATACGTGATACTGTGTAGGACAAAGTCTACTGAGTAATCTTTCAACTCCACTGAGCTCTAATAAGGCCTTAGTTAAAGTATTTTGTGCATGGAAAAATCAAGAGGGTTTTTTTTGTCGCTTTAGCAAACACATCAAACATAATAATGCGTTTAAAACCATGATCTGTGAAGAACAACTGAAGAGCTGATTAAAGAAGGGAAGACTGAGGTGTGTTAATGCCTCCAAATGCATAAATGTCAGCAAGGAAGAGGAAAGGAATAAAGTAGTTCTTTCTGTCCATGGCAGACAGGCTACAAATAAAATTAAATTGCAGTAAGAAAGTTTTCTTGAAGGCTGAGAAAAAACTTTGAGTAGTAATAAATTTATTTTGCAGAATTTATATTACTTACAAAACTACTTAGAAAATTCTGAGCTGTATATTTTTATTCATCTTCTGAAATCCTCATGGTTAGAGTTCTGACTTCTGATGCAAGAGTGCTCTAATGTAGAGCGTTTTCAGGGTGACTTTGTCATGTACTTCAGTGGGAGTGTTACCACACAAGAATATCTTGTCCGAGATGAGAACTGAAAATGGATTTCAGATCCGATGAAGTAATGACTTCTGAGCCAGTTCAACAGAGTACTTAAGAACAGAGAAATGTTAAATTCTCGCTGACTTCTGTGAATTCTTTCAAATTACTTTTGACAACTGGTAGAATTAGAATAAGACAACAATTGCTGTTCCTGTTGTCATATTGAAGAACAGCAAGCAAAACTTCTTTTCTTTCTAGAAACTTAGAAGGGGATGTTTCTCTGAGAAGCTCCGCTGCTGTCTATACGTACTGCAAATCTCGAGGGCTGTTTGCAGGAGTGTCTCTGGAAGGAACTTGTTTAATTGAAAGGAAAGAAACTAATCGCAAGTAAGTGCTCCTCAAATTTAGATGGTTCAACATTAGTGACAAAGGCAACGAGATTCAATAGTTCAATTGGGGGAATGTTTTGAGAATATTATGTGCTGAGTGTAGGATTTCTTGAGAGCTATAAATATCTTTAATTTAGATAACGTGAAAAGGATGTTGAGAAGATGCCAAATGCTTAAGGGGTTTGTGTATTGTAAAAGGTAGCTACAAAATAATTTACCTTCTTATATGACAAATACATTGCTTAAAGCCACTTAAAAATGGTTTAGAGCCTTGCTCAGTGTTGAACCTGGCAAGATCTTTACGTAGTTTTGCTTCCTCTGTGCAGCCTGTTAAGGCTTGAAATCCAAAGCACCTTTGAGAGCATGGAGACACCTGAAGCAGAGCACATACTGCAGATGCTAATATTTCAACCAAACTCTGAAAATCAAGATTAATAGCTACTATGTATGTGTTGCATTGTATGCGTTCTGTTTATGAACACTTTGATTCTGCTAATATCAGCAAAGACTAGTAGTGGCTTAATGACAGTGTGTCAGTAATTTTCAGCTTTGTTCGTAAAATTCTAGTTTTACTGTTTTATTGCATCCTTAAGGAATTTACTACATTGTTGAGGAGTGTTTTGCAATGTTTTGTAAAAGTGGAGTGCTGATTTTCCGGTCGGTATGTCACTTTCAACTGCTATAGTTAATGTATGCAAAATAGCATAACAAAATACTACTAGTGAGAAATATTGTGAAATAACATAGACATTCAAGTTTGCTGTAATTTATCATTCAAAATTTGTAGTGTTGAACTACTACTGTCATTTCTCAATAGATGATCCATGTGAGGAATGTAGTGGGGGGAGCATTTGCACCAAATGAAGTTATCTAGACTTCTATGAAGTTATCGACTAAATGAAGTTACCTAAATGTGATAGTGATGAAATACCTGGTATCTTTTCTTTTATTTTCAGGTTTTATGGACAGGATATTCGTGCTAGTTCAATCTTATTTGGTGATGTGCCTTTTCCTCCTCAAGCAGATGATCTTTATGAAACGCTGGCATCCTTTACTGAAGTATATGAAAACGAAGAGCAAAGAGGAAAAGCTGTAAGGGAACAAAGGGTTTGTCTTTTTTCCATATAGGCTTTTTTTTTTTCCCTGTTATTGAACTCTATAGTTGGCTGTAATGATAATGTTGTAGTCTCTGTGGCATTCCTAAGATCTCTAATTGGATGCTTACAAATGTAACATATAACAGAAACTTCGCTTAACATGATCATGATAGCCTTTTCTGGATGAAGATGTTGCCAGTTTTGCTTTGTATGTGCTAAACTGTGTTTGTCCTTGTTTGTAGATAACCAAATCTGAGTTTTGATTAGAAAAGTGCATTCAAGTATTCTTAATCAAATTAACATGTAAATAATGAGCATACTAGATTTGATTTGATTACTCTGCATTTCTTGTGCTTTTTCAGTCTCCTATTCAAGTTTAGAATAATCATAAAGATAAATATAATGCCAAAACTACAGAGGATTATTCTTTCTGCAGATGTTCCTGAAGTCCATCTTGTACTTTCATCTTTGTTATCTTCATAGTGAATTATCCTACAGTTCTGCATAAATAATAATTTTATATATTCCTTCATACAATTTCAATGCAAAAAGAGTAATTTTCAGTGATACTTGACTTACCTGTACACTTCGAAGCAATACTATGTTTCTTGGTGTGATACAATGTAAAAATTTGTATGTTTTAGGTAAATGATCCCCCTGCTAGACCATCGTCGAGACCAGAGCCACATAAACCCTCTGTTAGGCCAACACCACCAGGTTAGAAGATCTTTTGAGAAAAATTAATTTATTTCTTTATATTAAAATAGAATATTGAAACTGATGAACATGATGCTGTTCTTGCATTAATAGCTGTCTATATATACACACATATTTTTATTATTCTTCCTTGGACAAACACGGGTTGAAATTGAGTTCCACGTGTGAGAAAGGATAGAATTTGTGCTTTGGTTTTTTTCTTCACCTTTTGGTGAGTGCATTAATCTCTTTTCTAATGACAGTGTGAAAATTTATTTAGCAAATATCTGTAACAGGCCTTTGCTATCTGACAGTTTTGCTGTAGAAATACTATTTGTGTAGTTATAAAAATATATAATAGCTCAAAGGGAGCATTAATGTTTATTGCACACATAAAAGCTCCTTTAGCACAATGAACCTTCTTAGCAATAAGAATATTCCTATTGAAAGCGTCTGGCTTATAGAAGACTAAGTTCTCTTCTAGTTTGTTGTTACCATGAATGGATGGATGAAGACCTAGTATGTGAGCAGGGGATGCAGAGTTTTGGCTCCACAATTAGTTACTTGCTGAAGTTTTCTCATCAGAAATGAGACTTTTTACTGCAGTTCTTGTTATTTTGCTGTATTTCTCTGGACAAGGGTATGAAGCTCATTCTTTGTTTCTTTCACCAGTACTGCACCTTAACTTCAATCATTTTCAAACTATTTTTCAAACTATTTTTCAAACTATTAAATATATTTTTCAAACTACATTTTTCAAACTATTAAACATATATTTGAAAAGTAGTATGCAAAATATAACAGTATGTTTTGGCTTATCATGTAACTTTCTATTAAATCTCTTACAGCCAAAAAGAATTCAAACAAGCTTTATCCTGAGCTTCCCAATGATTATGGCTCTGTGGGTAAGTACTGAGCTTATGCCTTTTTTATTAATTTAATCCTGTTTTATTAATAATCCGAGAAATCTTGCAGGTAATGTGGAATCATCTAACATCTGTGCATGGGTATTTTTCTGTGTTAATCATGTGTTAAAATAAGATTCCTTTGTTTTTTCTCTCATGAAAATGTATTATAAAAGTGATTCTTATTCCCTGGCTTTACATTCAGTCAAAGATGAGTGGTATGTTCTTTTTTTGAATAGCAGAAGCTTTATTTATTCAGCGTGCTTGAAAAGAGCACTGAAAGTAGTAAAACAGTGTTTTACTTCTCAAACTAATTGAAGTAAAAAAAGAAAGCTCATGTAACAAGCTTGTCCTTATGATAACTCCTGTTTTAATTTAAAAAGTATCTGCACAGGGCATATCTAATTACATGGCATAAACATAGATTTCCATTTCAGCTTTACCCCTTCCTGTTTTTTGTTTCCCCTCCCTCCCCGAATTCAGATAACCTTGAACTCTGTTCAGTGTTCTACACTGACTCTCTTTGGAGCTTAAAGACAAGAACAGGCAATTTGAGATTTAGCTCTAATTAATAGAGAACCTGATTCTGTAGCGTTCACAGCATAACTCTGGGACATCAACATCAAGACTCAAACTAAACTCAACATCAAGAAACTTAAGGCCTTTGTTAGGAACATGTTAGGATCAAGTGGCTGTGTTCTTTTAGCTTCCATAGTGTGCTTTCCCATCAAAGTGTGTCTTTTCTTTCACAGGGAAAAGATTGTTAGCCATTTTAACATCTGCAAAATTAATTATTTTTCTCATAAGTTACATTGCTTATTTGATAAAATGTCTTGGTCTCTGCTAGGATCAAAACCAAGACTGAGGTGTTACATATATATGTTCATTTTTGTATAATATTTTTGTGTATAAGTATGAGCATATATTTGGATACATGCATACATTTTATCACATGCACAATTTGAAAATATAACAAAAGATATCTTTATTTTTAAAAGTTGAATTCAAATGAAGCTTGATAATTCATCACAGTAAAAGTCTAAATCAGGCTGAGTGCCATGATTCAACTTACACTATTTAAATTCTGTTGTCTCAAACAGAAACTCGTAATGTCCGGAAACAGCCTCACTCGTAAATGGATTTTTCATAGCTTGGCTCATGCAATTAGAGATTTTCACAAAAAAATGTAAGATAAGTTATGTGTGGGTGCTTGACATTTCCAGAAATACACAAGAGAGCAAGATGAGGTAGGATCATTTGTAAATGACACTTCCTGAAAGAAATGTCTAATGATAAATCGTCGCTTACCTTACAGATTTACAATGGGATATTTTGCTTTGCACTGGAGTTTTTATTTCCATAAAAACACTTCTTGTACTGTCCACATCCATAGAAGTACTCTGTGTAGTTGCTCTTTTCCAATAAAAGTTTCAAGTCAATTCTCTTGCATATTTTCTGGCACTTTTTTCTTTTTTTTCATGCTTATATGCATGTGGATGAGATGCTAAGAGTTACAGGTGTTTTCTCATCAATGACAGAGTTCGTCCTTGTTCGTCCTTGGGTTGTGGCAGAGAAGCAACATTAAGGTTCCTATCATTTTAGATTTCAGCTGATTGGAGAGAGCTACCAGGCATCTAAAACTTGCACTAACCAATCCTTATTGCAGGATAAGTTGCTGCCACTAATGTTGTACAATGATCGGGGAAAAAAAAAAATTCATATTCAAATATTGATTGAGAAAGTTATTCTTTACACATAGTCCCTATAGGGGTAGGTTTGGGTATTTGGTAACAAGCCTGAGTTGCCATCAGCAAACAGTTAACATTATTTTCATTTTTTTGTTACAGGTTTTTGATTTTGCAGTTATAAAAGTAGCAGGAGAGTTGAAATGTTGATTCTTTTCATTAGTGGAAGAAAGGCAAGACTTGTAGATGAAACATTTTTAATTATATTTTATGTAGACTTGAATTATCAAGATGAGAAATGTAATATAACCCATTTCAAGCACAAGTAAAATGTAAAATGAAAAACATGTTTTTCTAAACTGATATTGTGATACTTGACTCAGATGCAACTAGAGCTTTTTTATATAACAGAGTAGTACTTAAGGTAATGCATTTAATTCTAAAATGATAATCACTAACATTTTAATATTTTCCAGAAACTTGGAAATAACACTTTTTTTTTTTTAAAGATAGAAAGATCTTTTACAATTCTTAAAGTAGCTCATACTGTTAATGTGATTCTGTGTAATGTAAAGGACTTGGGCACACTGACATCTGTAAGTAGCAGTCTTCCAGTACCAATTGCTTTCGGAAGTAACCAGGGCTACATCAGAAAATCAGGAAGAAAAAAAAAGTCATTCTGACTATTTGCCTCTTTACCTTGTAGACAAAGCTGTACCAAAATAGTGTGTCATGTCAAGTCAAGCAGTCAGCAAGCAAAATTAAGGCCAGTTAATACTGAAGGAATGATCCCACAGGTTCCATTTTTGGGCATGTCCCTGGAAGCATTATACATGCTATAGGAAATGTGACACATATCTAGATTTCTGGATTTATTGAAAATGAAGTTTTCAGCAAGATATTGGGAGCATGAAATTCCTACAGTAGTGAAGTTTTTTTGGAGACTGTTCAGATAAAGAAATTGTATTTACCTGCAAGTGTGATAGCCCATGCCTCCTCCCCTACTTCTCACTAAAACTGGGCATTTTTATCTTAATTTTTGTACTTGTCACCACACAAAATTATATATACAACCATTATGTCATATATAAAAGGACTGATTCTCTACAAATCTGTTCTGCTGCATCACTAATCTAAATGACCTACAGCTCTTTAAAAGCCTGTTTGAGCATTGTAATCTCATGATAAAAGTTTATTTTACTAGAACATGTCTTCAGATGCCTTAGATTGATAGCTTGTCAAACTAGAATGATACCTAATCCTAGATCTTAGTTTTCCAGAGTGTTTTCTGATTATTTTTTGTTTGGAGTTTTGCAACAGAGCAGCAAGCAACTAAAACTGCAGACTAAATGGTTCCTGACTGTTATCCTAACAAATTGCTGTACAGTTCTGGAAGCACTTTAGTGATGTGCTTTCTCAGCTCAACTGGTAGCAGCAGTAAATAGCCATCTGCTAACAAAAATACCCTTCCAGATTTGTCTCATTTGTAAACTCTTAAGGGTTGGGTTACAGTGAACGATTGGGATAACTGAATCATTAATGGACAATTGGCTTGGGGTCAGGAGTCAGATTATCAGACAGACTGCAGAGCCTGTTACTACTATGATCTTTTCAGGAGGACTGTGATTGTAAAACTAGATGTTGAATGGCTTTAAGGCATTCAATATATGTTTCTGACTAGTAATTTTGTCATGCAGTTTTCTTAAGAAATGTGTAAGAATTTATAAAGGCAAAGTGTTCAGATTTTTTTATTTCTCCAAGAAACAGTCTTTCTTACTTTCCATAAGTATTTTAACCTAATATTTTTAAATTAATTTTATTCGAGAGAAAATGTGTTCCCTCTTCTGATTCTTTTGACTTCTGATTTGAATAAAGTTATCTAGCCGTAGACATGAAATTCTTAAGACTGTTAGGCAAAAAACATCATTACAGATATACTCAGTTTGAGCAAACGTTGAAGGAATACCTTTTTTTTTTTTTTTTACCTGAAACTTTACATCTGAGGATACTATGAAAAGATTAATGGTTCCTCCTTGCATCATTAAACACGTATTTGTATTCTTGCATAGCATATGTTTGTATTCTTAAATACTAAAAGAGGTGCTATATGGATCAGCCTACTGATGATGATGAGATAGGCAGAAATTTGCAACCTTATAAAGAAGCTGACAAATCTGCTTCTTTCATCGATTGCATGAGTAATATCTAGCCTCATTATTAAAAATTCATACTTTATCATATGAATTTGTCTGCAGCTTTTGGACATTGATGGTTCTTATGGTTTTCTTCACCGGATTGGAGAGCCCTGCCTTACCTCTCCCATTGCCTTTGGGGCACAAAGGGGATGCCCCCTTCCTTGCCAACTTAAGTATTGTTTGTAATCAAAATCACCTCTTGGTCTTTCTCAATCTTTGTTGTGATTACTAAACAGATGGAGCTCCTTAAGAACTGCATCAGTCATTTCCTCTTAAAATAATGATTTTAATGATCATGAATTCTGAGATGTGAACTCCCTGAGATCAGTGTGATTTGGGCTCCGTAGAAAAACACTGTGAATTTGGACCAAATTCCACTTCTTACGCAGTTTTACTACTCCTCATTAGAACAGTTCAGACAATATGAACTCCTTCTGACCAAGCAGTGCCAGAGGTTTATGGTAAACTCAGCTTATGCTAATAAATCCTTCTCAGAGAAGCTGCTTTCCATGTTCTCAGAGAATCAGGCCAGACCCAATTCTTGATAAGTTTGGAGGTGCAAGAATGCCTTCTGTGATCTTGATATTTCTTTCAATAATCTCTTGACTGCCAGATGGTTCAGGACATATATGAAAATTTGTTTGCTGTTGAGAACTCCAAGGAATGTTTTCATGCCTCCAAATGCTTTTAAGCCTCCTTAAAGTTTCCTTGGCAAGATACATTTAGGGGCTTTATGTGCAGTTTTTTATTATGATAGTATGATGTTCTCTGGCCAGTTACAAAAATTGGTGCTCACTATGTCAACAAAATTAAATTGACTCTAAGTTCAGAGAGGCTGCTTCAGAGGTGTAAAGCTTTAATAAAATAAAATAATAAAATACAAACCTTTCAATTTTGTAGCACTCTGAGGGTAGTAGCGTTTTTTTTCTCTCTCTTGCAACCTCACCTTCTGTTCAGTTATTGTACTCACATGCCTATTCTGCAGTTCAGTTTTCATCTCACTTATGGTCCTGCTATTTTTAGAATTACTACTTTGGAGGATTATCTCCATCAAGCTCAGAAAGAAGACAAAATATAATGTGCAACTTTGACACTGCTCTATTTTTCTCTGCATTAGTAA